ACTAATATTGCTCTTCAAGTCTTGAACACTTAGGAATAGTTCAGCTAGGCGATAAAATTGGAAATAATACGACAAGAAAACTTTTTGCAAACAGCTTGGTAGCTTCATCAAATGATATAATAAGAACAGCACAAAAAAACATATTTGAAAGTCATAAAGACTTTTACGAAGATATATTTATTGCACTGGTAATATATATTCAATATACAGATGTAAAGTATTTTTGGTACTAAACATAATACAGGAATCATCGCTTGAAGGCTGTGAGGAATTATTACTGAGGAACTGCTTGAAAGTTAGGAAAACGAAGGATATCTGCTTAACCTTCTGTTATGAATCACTTCTTATATTGTAAGTATAACCAGTACTACTCAGTTGATATTACGTTTTAAAACCTTTACTATTAAGTGTTCAGCAGGTGTTCATACTTGGTGGATTGGGAAATATAGAAGCAGTTTATAATTTTCGCTTGATCTGGAGAATGCTTGATACAGTGGCAAAATCACAAAAAGGTCACCGATTTGTACCCGGCGAAGTTTGTTTAAATGCAATCAAGAATGAATTAGCTCACCGTGAATTAAGCCTTTCAAGCTGCTTTGAGTATAAAAGAATAGGAAAGAGAAAACAGAAAAGACAAGTCTGTGAAAGCTCGATATAGTTTATTGAAAGGAAAAATATTGCAAAAATTGTACAAGAAGAAAATAATATTAAAAAATGACAAGGGTTATCAATATGTTTTGCAAGGTAAATGATATTAATAGAAGTATGATTTGGATAAGTGAATACTGCTATAATAAAGCATTATGTGTAAATATTGTCAGTGTAAATGTTGTCAGTATAAATATTGTCAGTATAAATGTTGTCTGTGTAAATGTTGTCAGTATAAATGTTGTCAGTATAAATGTTGTCAGTATAAAAGTTGTCAGTGTAAATGTTGTCAGTATAAAAGTTGTCAGTGTAAATGTTGTCAGTATAAAAGTTGTCAGTGTAAATGTTGTCTCCGAATAATTCTGTATACAATAGGATATGTTTTTATATTTATTCCTCCTGAGCTGCCACTATTGCTAAAAATATAAAATATTATAAATCATTATTTCTAGGGTCTGGGGTCTGGGGTAAGCAATGCGTTAATATTAATTCACAGTGAATATTCCAGCTATAACAATAATACCAAATATTTATATGCCACTATTATTATTATTATCTTCTGAGATATTATTACATAACAATATTGAATATTATAGATGCATATATAATATATATGACTTGTATACATAATTATGTAATTGCATATAACAGTCATAATCCTATTGAATTCTTATTATTACATAATACAATGTATATAATTATTTTTAATGCTCGATTACTCTCACAATAACTGTTGTTAAAACTGAATGTAGAATGAATATTATGCTGTGAAATACGATATACTAGTTTTATTTGATTAACCTCTTTATTATGTAATAAATGATGGTTTATTTCTATTAACTTAGTTGTAAGGACGACTACAATCATAACACAAGCTACTACAATGCTGATAAACTGATTATAAATGATGAATATAGCGTTGAGCTTGTATTGCTAGAAACCTCAGGGCCATTTGGTGCTTGCAACGACAAAAAACTTAGATCACATCAAAGCTGCGTATGGATTACTTGCTATGTTGCACACTATTGACTACAGATATAATTATGCAGATATTGAGTTATTTAAAAAGTTGAAAATCTCTTTTGTTCATGCTGCTGGAGACAAGATTAGATTATGAAAACTCAACTTAGCTACCTCTGGACTTTATATCTTAAATCGCCAAAGGAGTTGCCAAGTTCCTATAACACACAGAAACAGCAAAGAAAAGCTCTTGAATGTTGTAAACATGATGTGGGAATTGCAGGTATGATTTATTAATGTTGATAAGTTACTATATGTATTTTTTCATTGTTATTTTTTCAGAAAGTGGTAACTGAGTCATCTGCGGTGCTAAAGTCTATTGAAAAATCACATAAAGAAAATGAAAAGATTGCCAACATAACCAAATTGGAATCATACCTTGGGGAAGCAGTTGATGTTAAGTTACCTTGCAGTTATATATCTGCTGTCGATGATATCAATCTTTCAAGCTCACCTCTTCGCCCAGCTTCAGATTGCTCTAGCATTGAAGACCTCGATGATATGAATGTATTTTGATGATAATATACCTATGAATAAGATATCTTGAAAGTGAATAAAGTATTGAATAAAAATTCTGTTCGGGGAATAAAGCAAAGGATACTTTGAAAACTTGTATAGGGTTTATTGTATCAAAAATATGATAAATACTTTTAGCTATGGAAATGAGTGTTGTATTTATATTTTTTGTCGAGCAAGGGTTAATCCTAGTCTTGTGAGTTTATCCATGAGGGTCCCGCTGAGAAGATGATGAGAACGAATGATAAATGACTGTGATGAGTAATTCAATTGATGTTGCAAGGGTATTGGTATGAAAGGGTACATACTTATGCCATCATGGCAAATAACAGAGAGATTGTTTTGTGTAGAGGTAAACGTTCGGTAGTGACTTCAGGTATCAATAAAATCGAATAGTGCTTGGCCATACGTTATAGCTCCGCTGCCTCACACAATATCTTTCATCCAAAGAGTTCTAATGTTTGCTTTGTACCTTTCTACACTAGGTGTTGCCCTTGTAGTCTATTAATTGGATCTACTAGTCTTATTATCCTAATAAGGCCAGTATGGTCAACAAAAATACAACTTGAATTTAATAGTTGTAAATGAAATTATGAATTAGGATGTCTTAGCTTTTAAAAGCAAAGAGGAGCAGAGAAGCGATAAGTATATTGTTACTTACTGTCTCACGAATACATGGTTAATGTACTATATGCAGAAATAAGTTGCCATAGTGCTTTTAAAAGTAAATCATGTGTAAACTAAAAACACCCAAACAGCAAAAAAAATTAATTGTAGAATGAAGTACTATATTTCAATAATTTATTCTTTATGATGCTGATATGAGCAACAAGAAAAGAGAATTCCAAGTAATTATAAAAAAAACTAAGGATGAGGATTATTCATTAAAACATGTAAATGTTTGCCTTATAATAATAAACCTAATCTGTGCAGTTATCATCTAATCATAAACCTGATTCGACTAAGTTCATTTGAATGTCTCTATATATACTGCTGCCTTCAATTATCTCTCCATATGAAAGACTCGCGCATATTAAACGAGTTTTCTAGTATGAATACAAAGTGTCATGTGCTTATTTATAATGTCATGTTTCTTGATTAAACATGCGGATCATAAACTTATTTAAGGAACTCTATCTAGATTCTTTTAAAACTCTCTTGATCCACTTCATAAAACAATATTAAAAACTTCTAACACTTTATTATCTATAACATATCTTATTTGGTCGTAACTGTCACTTTTCTGATTCGCATCTTATCTCAAACTTCTTTAACAATTCTTATAAATACCCCATCAATTTAAATTCATAAATAAAATAATTGACTTCAGAACTATTGTTCCGTCTCATTAACTTTATTATGTCTTTTTATCATTTTTATTTAATAATATTTCTTTATTTTGATATTTTACAAGTAATATCACATTATGTATCCTTAGAAATAAAGACGAAGGCATAATAAAAAAAATATCAGAAATAGATTATAAATGATTAATTGAATACTGACTATTCAAAGATAATTAGAGTAATTAATTATAAGCTATTTGTCTATTTCATTTTTAAATCAAATACATGTGTATATGTATATGCTTAAGTATTATTATTTAAGTTAAGCTTTGCTAAGTTATTATGAAAGCAGTTATGTGTAGAAATTAAAGATTAGTGTTTAATGCATAACACTGCAATAGATATATGTATCAATTGCTTTTATCTTTATTAGTTAAAGCTGTTTAAATATAGCTCGTTCAATTAAATACAGTTCCAACAGTTATTATTGCTGTATAACTTGATCCAGGAATATTTGTGCAATTAATAACGATGAATGATAATTTTAGTTAAAGGAAAATCCTTTAAAGAATTATGTCAACTTAACGACTATGATTTGAGCAAAGGATAATATATTGGTGAAATATATAAAAATGGATATTGTTCAATAAATCAGGTGTAAATTAGATAATTTAGACGCAAGTGCTAGAGTTACTAATATAGAAGCAAAAAATTGAAAACGCGGAAAAAAAAATTATAAATACTACACAATAAATAGTACAAAAAATTCGATTAGTTGCAGATATACACAAATAAATATACTGTAGAATCCCTTTCGTTAATTATCAAAATGGTATTTCCATACCAAAAGTTATTAATGCTACTGGTATCGTCAGAAGAACTGATTATCAATTAGAACACCACAAGGTATCCTACTCAAAATAACTTCAAATATTGTTGACCAGCGTACAATCTACACTGTTAATAATCTAGTTATATCTCTTACAGCAATATATTAACCGATAAAATTTAAACACACACAATTGACTATTAGCATGTCTATATTTTATTGCAATATAAAGCATAATTATGTATTATACTTTCAAAGACTAGAGAGTTCGACAAACAAATTCGATTTAAATGGCGCTTCAGTAAAAAGAAAAAAGCTTGTACAAATATGTTTATTGGTAAATATTGATCGAAAAAAGAAAGGACTAACAAAAATAGTAATGCTATCTTCTAGGGAATTAATTACCAATATACTGTTGAGTATTCATTCTCAAGGTATCATTGTTTTTTTTAAAAAGAAATCTATAACATTTTTTGGGATTAGGAAAAGAAAGACGGTTAGAAATGCACCAAGAATTGACACTAAAGCTGAATACTATATCCATTATCTAAACGACATATTTAAAGCTTCAAAGGATTTTATTTAATAATAAATAATGTGCTTATTCATAAATTAGCTACTACTAGAAGCATTGTTGAAAATAAGGATACAAATGTGTACGTTCACCTTTATTCTCACCTTTCATAAACTCACCTGAAGAATTTTGATCGAAAGCTAATTCATGCTTGAAAGTAATTTTGAATAGATATAAAGGTTGAAGTAAATGACTTTTTTTTTTGTCAAAAATTCCGAAAAATTTAGTAGTCATCAAACATCTATCTTTATTTTCTTATTATCAACAGAAGCGAGTAATTTTATATACCTGAAAGCAAACATATAACGTAGATAATTCTACTTTTTTATATACTATATTCATTTTACTAATATTATCCTAATTCTATAAGTTGTTGTATACAAATAGTCGCTGCTAGATCAACCATTATTCTATGTTACTGGCGTAAAATTATTTTTCAGGTTTATTAAATTTCAAACTCAAACATTATTTCACATTGTGTTGTGCATTTTTCAGCAATATACTTCTCTTTTTTTCTTTTTTTTTTTTTTTTTTTTCCTAGTTTATAAATATCAATGGATTTTTTAACTAGAGGCTATACCGCCTTAAGAGGTGATCGGGGGCAGCCTCAATCTGCAGATGAAACAATTGAGAAGCTTGCAGATTGTCTAGAGACCGCGACTTTATTAGAAGATAGACGTGCTGGTGTATTAAGCTTAAAAGGCTTAGTCAGAGATTGGCCTGAGGTTAGCTAAAGTTAATTGTTATTAATAATCCATTTATTTAATGCAACCTTTTTTAGGAAGTAGGAAATAAGAGTTTCCCAGGCCTAATCAAAGTTTTACATACAGATTATAAAGATGTCGACATTACGAAGTCTCTGCTTGAAACAATCATAATATTATGTACTGTCCAACATCAGGTAATAGATGAACATGGAAAATATTATTATAAATACATTAAAATGTTAGTTATTAGCATGACAAGGATGATCGAGGATTTAAGTTTACGGATTACTTCATAGAGGTAGCATATACAAAAGTTTGTATAGAAACATGCAATAGCTAAATTTATTTATTTTCTAAAAGGATTCTCGTAATGTTACTATCCTGTTAGACATTCTTGAGGAATTTGATTTTTATGTTCGTTACAATACTATAAAGCTACTATCAACGTTATTATCTAATAGAAGTAAGCGTATCCAAGAGTGCATCTTAACTAATCCAATGGGAATTTCACTTCTAGTCGACATGTTAGACGATAAAAGAGACATTATTAGAAACGGTATTTTTTTTTCTTTTATAATTTTAAAGTTTTAACATTTTAAATCATTAGAGGGCTTATTATTATTGATTGATTTGACTCGAAACAACACTGAAATTCAAAAGATTGTTACATTCCAGGCAACTTTTGAAAAATTATTATCTATTATTGAAGAGCAAGAAGGAATTTCGGGAGATATTGTAGTTCAAGATAGCTTAACTTTAATGCATAATCTATTAAGATATAACGTTTCTGATCAGGTAATTAATATACATCTATGTGTGCACTTATAAATAAAATTTTTTTGACTATAAAGATATTATAGGTATATTTTCGTGAAACAAGTTGTATACAGCAAATACCTGGTCTTTTAGGTTATGTTGGAGACACTGATGCAGATCATGTGCCATATTCATTTGAAGACTGGCCACCTCAAAAGATTGCCAATACAGTTCTTGTTTTACAATTAATTCGTATTTTAACAGAACCTGATAGCAGTAGCACAGCTATCAATCAAAAAGTAATGGTACAAAGTGGTATTCTCTTACCAATTGTTCAGCTAGGTCTTTGTTCTAATGCGCCTTCTATTGTTCGTACCGAAGCTCTTTATGCCATAGCTTATGTTACCGCGTCTAATATCGATAATCAAGCTATGTTTGGTAAAGTTATGGTTGCAAGTCCTCCATTATTATTAGAAAATGAGCAAATTGATCCTAATGCTATAGCTGGTATTCCTCGACCTGCTATGGTATCTCTAATTTCCATTGCTGTTGTCAATGATCGTGGATATTCGTATAGCTATTCGAGTCGTGCTGCTGCTACTTATGCAATTTATTGTTGCCTAGAGGAAAATCCAGATGCTCAGCTTGTTTTGGCATCGACCCTAAAAATACCTCCTGAAGATAATGCAAATAGCCAATTTTTAGGTAAAATAAGTAATTATGTTAAAAAACACACACATTATACTTATTATTTGTTGTAGATAAACCACACTCTGCCGGATCGCTTCTTTTAGAAACTATTGAAAATTGGGAACAGTCTTTATCGGATCCTTATAAAATCTGGTTTGCATGTGATATTCTATCTCATATCATAAGGGACAATGAAAAAGCCAAAGAAATTGCAGGTGGTATTGTATTTGGTGATGAAGCTAATGGTGAAGACCCAGTCCCCCTTTTGCATCAAATTGTTGCCCAATTATTATTATCTACAAAAAATACATCTACTAACTTACGTATACCAATTGGCTATTTATGTTTATTATGTACATGGCTATATAAAAGCCCTACTTCTGTTAGTCTATTTTTGACAGAAAGTACACATGTTCAATTTGTAAGTGTATTAATTAATTTATGGTTGGTATTAATAGTGCTAATACGCCTTTTCCTTAGTTGATTCAAGAAATGCAATCTTCCACAAATGATCCTACAGTTCAAGGCCTCATTGCATACTTGTTAGGTATTGCATATAAATACAATGATGATCCATCAACACCTTTAGATAGAACTCAGCTTCAATCTATCTTTTCAAGTCGATTAGATCAATTTAATAGCTTATTAGCTCGACTTCGAGATAGTCCTGCTGTTAAAAATGCTCCACAATATCTTCAAATTTCAGCAGAAGATGAATCTATTTCAAATTCAACGCATTCTTTACCATCGTTGATTCTTGATAGCGTCTTTGTGGAATTGTTTAAATCAACTTATGGTAACATATTAGTTAACACATAATATAAACAGAAATACATTACTTATGACATATCGCTTTTATAGAGAATATTCAAAAATCAATCAAAAAAAAGCCTTCTAAATTTTCTAAGATAGAAAGTAAAACAGGTATTTATAAAAAAAAAAAAAAAAAAAAAAAAAAAAAAAAAAAAAAAAAAAAAAAAAAAAAAAAAAAAAAAAAAAAAAAAAAACGACCAAATGAGTAAATATACATAATTTTTTATGCTTTTTCAGGTTTGCCTATGCCTACTGGTTCAATTGTTACAGATGAGGTCATTCAAAATTATAAGAATACAATTGAGGAACAAGTTACGCAAATCAAATCTCTTGAAGAAAAAATGGCAGAGCTTGAATCAATTATTAAAACTTTGGTAAAAAATTTGTTTATAGTATTACCTAAAAATTTTACTTACAATATTAGTTACTATATTAGAAAGCTAATGATGAGATAATAAGAGAAGAATTAGTTACTGCAGCTACAGATAATACCAACTTGAAGCAATATATTTCAGAATTAGAAACAAAATTAAATGCTACTGCTTCTCAGCCAACACCTATTAATGATGAGCAAGCTTTAAAGATTACAGAATTAGAAAAAAAAATTGAAGAAGAAAAGGATAAATTTATGCAATTAGAAAAAGAACAAGAAGATTTACTTGTTTGTATGGGTAAGTTGTATTTTGAAGATAAGCTTATGAGACTGGAGATATAATATTTATATTTACATACAACAGGTGAACAAGATCTTGATATCAAGAAATACAAAAAGAGATTAAGAGATTTGGGTGAAACTGTTACAGACAGTGAAGATGACGATGATGAAGAGTGATTTGGCATAATGAAATTATTTCTTTAATTACATAACTAAGAAAAAAAAGAAATCTTACTTGCTGTATATGGATTATTTCAACAATCAGCTTCTACAAAAATACATTTATTCAAACATAATTAAATAAAGATAAATACTTTTCTTATAATGAAAATAAATAATTTTCAAGTAGTTTATTTAAATTTTTAACAACCACTGTTAACTAACTAAAAATACACTAAATATGACTTGAAGTCATTATTAAACATAAAAGATGCTTTCTTCATATCTTAAAAAAATACAAATATAATCCAAAAACATTAATGCTAAAGACATTATAGTATTACTTAATTGTACATTATTTCACAAAAGTGGTCCTATATTTAAAAAAATAGATAGAAAGACCAACCCAGAACGTTTCTTTAAGTTTGCATGGCTTTCATAAAGACATTAGTTGATATTTCACGACACAATTTTGAGTCCACTCCACCTTTAATCTTGGCAATAAAATCCAAGACCCATACTGAGTGAAATAGAGCACAACTCTATAATAGCAAGCTTCCATCGTTATCTTTGTACTTAAAGCCTGACGTTATGTTGTTGGATGAATTTATCTTCCTCTACTTACTTCTGTATCTTATCAACTAAACTTATCCTATTGATATTAATGTCATAGGCTATTGCTATCCTGCTGACTGTTGTACGTAAGATATCTAAACTCTTCAATATAGCTTTATGAGACTCTTTAGCATGGAGTTTAACTATAATATATATATTTTTTTTATTGCAAGTGTGGAATAACTACGATAAATATGAGCAATTATTCACAGAAAGAAAGAAAAAGAGTGAGAGAGAGAGATGGATTATAAAATAGTTCTGAACTATTATTGTGAAAACTCTCTGTCTGCCAATCAATATGTTTAATTAGTATCTATAATCTATTAATTTGTAGGTACTTCACTTTTGCATAAAAATTGTGTGATATACTAATATCATAAGACTTTACTAGATATATCAATAGATCTTAGAATGAGTGAAATATAAATTTTTATTTTATTCATGCAGTAAGTTCATGAATGAATATAACATATGTTCACTATAACTTCAGCTAAAATGACTATATTTAAAAACAAAAAAAAATCAGTCTTATCTTATCCAATAAAAAGTATAATAATGTAAATGTTTCTACTTCTTAAGGCTAATTTGTAAAAGTAAATTTTAGTTGCAATGCTAAAACGCTGCTTTTGTAAATCCAATATGAAAAATACTGAAACTATACTTGGCAAATCAAAAGAGTAAATTCGTATTGTATATGTGAAAAATAATTATGAAAATATAATATATACAGGCTCTTATCTCCTTTTCTAATATTTATTCATATTAGATAGGAATATTACTGTTAGTAATAAGAATATACGCTATGCTATAGTTAATCTATATATTAGTTGTAGTTTTAACATTTCTAATAAATTATTCTTCTTTCAATAATCCAACCGACGACTTTACCTTGTAATTTTTTATTTAACACCCGGCTAACAAAAACCGATCGAAAGATGCAGAATAGAGGAAGAAAAGATGAAGCGAGCCGGACAGCCAAATATATCACGTGACCTCACTGGAGATAAAAGTCTACTTTTACAATTGTGAAAGTAGACTGAAAGGTGACCTTTCATTAAAGTTTCAGTATACTTTCACAATTGTAAAAGGTGACCTTTCACAATGATGCCATTAGACCAAGTCAGTCTACTTTTACAATTGTAAAAGTAGACATTTTACAATTGTGAAAGTAGACTGAAAGTAGACCTTTTACAATCATGAAAGTTCACCTTTTACAAAATTTTGCTTCATAGCTCAAAGCTTCTATTGGATTACGCTTCTTTAATCTTCGTCATTCCTTTACGTTTTTTTACTCTTATTGGCCTTTACATTCAAATTAAACGTTTGCTTATTCGTTATATTATGATACATTTTAGACTTCTTTAAAATACAGTAGATAATGGAGCTTATATTCTTTTTCAAAATACGATTTTATTTATTTTCGTTTATTATTTCCTTTTACGATATATAAAATATTATATTATTATATACTATAAAACGCGTAAAAAAATATATAAAAAAATACATAAAAAAATACATAAAAAAATAGATAAAAAATATATAAAAAATATTTAAAAAAATGTATATAAAAATGTATCCAAAAAAATAGAATAAATACGCCATGGAAAGGACCGAGATAACGCGTAATAGAGTCATTAAGAGGACCATAGATAGCTTCTTTCATAATAGAATTCTTCCTATAATAAAATAAAATACGATTTAGTCAATGAAAAAACAAATAAATTATATTTTAGTTTCTTACCATTAGAAAAGAAGTTATCATTTCTTTACACGTTAACGGCCACCAAAGCAGAATAGTTTTTTTTTCACTTACCTAAATAAAAGATAAGAAAGATTAATAAATATTTTACGCGTTTAAAATAATAATTAGTATGCTTATTATATTGTTTACCTTTTATTTGTAATCGGTCACCACAAGAGAAAAGGCTATAAAGATAGACCTTTAACGCCTAAACAAAAAAAAAAGTTTAGTTGATGTTATCATTAAAACAACTTTAGTAAGATATAAAGATATATTTATGTTATGTTTACCTTATCTTTATTATTTACGTATTTTATATAATTCGCTATTAGTCATTATAAAAGGCAAAACGCCAAAGATTCAAAGTATACAGTAAAACTATTTGAAAAAAAAAAAGATATTGATTAGAATATAGTTTTTTTTTTTTCTTTAAATATAAAGAGCTAACCATGTTCATTACATGTTCGCCGGGGATAATCAAACCGTGCTAAGTTACTTACCAATTGGATTGTATATCATCTCAAGTCATTTATCCTAAGTACTAATTCAAAAAAAAGAAAAAAGAAAAAAAAGGAAAACAAGAAGGAAAAAAAAGAAACAAGTAAAAAGAAATAAAGTAAAAAATTTTTTAGAAACAAAAAGTCTTATTAA